GGTGTGAAGACATTCGATTATAAAATTTTACTATGTAAATTCGAATTTTACTATGATGCAGATCATCCAAATTTTACAACCTCCTATAGATCGGCGGGAAATGTCCTGTGACTGGTTATAACACATCTAAATTCGGTTTTTGGTGCGATCAACGTTTTCACCTTATAAAACGAATTTTGAGTCGTACGGCAAATATTCTGTTTATAAAGAGAGTTCTTTGCAATTGCAAGTGTCTTGACATTGCCTTGCCACTGCTTTGCCTGTTATTTGCTTACTTTCTATTGGACAAAAATAAAAAAATACGTCAAAATCCGAAAAACAGTTTTTTCAATTGTTTGCACACTGCGCAACCAAAATTATTACTTTTTATTATTAATAAAAAAAAAATACGTCAAAATCCGAAAAACACTTTTTTTCAATTGTTTGCACACTGCGCAACCAAAATTATTACTTTTTATTAATCTTGAGTAAAAATAAAAAAATACATCAAAAATCTGAAACCTGTTTTTTCAATTGTTATTACATAGTGTCCTACTAAAGTTATTTGGATATTATTATTATTATTTTAAACGATAAACAATATCTTTTAAATTATGACTAAAATTTACGACCTAATTTTTTTTTGGTACAGATAACCTTATACGATAACGAAAAGTTACTTTTAAAGTATTAAATTGTGAGTTCATGGATACGCACACGTGCATTGTTAACAATTATAATACCTTGGTTATTTTTTTTAAAGAATACCATATTCCCTGGAATATAAGCACCAGTATGAATTTGCAATGAAAAAACAAAAAAAATAGAAAAATAAATATAAGCACCAATATATTTCGATTTGATTTTATTTTTATATAATAAATAAAAAATAAGAAATTTTTTTATTTTGACTATTCTTTTCCAGAATCACCAGACTCCTCCTCTTCTAATTCATCTAATTCATCAGCTGAATCATCATTTCTCACGTTCATCTTCCTAATCCCCATATAAATGTAACAACAAATCATCTGAAATAAAATGTCTTAAATATAAGCACCACCCACAGTTTTGTTGTCAAAATGGTGGTGCTTATATCCCAGAGAATACGTTAATCAGATTCTGATATTTGCTGAATACCCCATTACCCAATTTGGCATCATTTGACCAGTAAAGAGAGAACCAATAGATTATATATATGCAAAGAAAGATGGGACCTAAATTAGCACAAAAGAATTTTAGATCATGCACAAACATAACAACTTGATAGCTTGATTGACATAACAAACAATTGCATCACCCAAGTAGTAATAATACCAAGGCCATGTAAAAATGAAACTTTTAATAATGTGAGTCTACCCAGATCTCTGAGATTCGCAAAATAAATTATTATCAATTATGGTTCCTTATGAATAATAAATCTGATGTTGATTTCAGGTGTCAGATTTAATTAAAATTTCCTATCACAAGCACGCAAATATCCCTTATAA